TGTTGTTGTTGTTGAGGAGCTTTGTTTACTAGGCCGACGTTTCTGAGGGGAAAAAACCCTTATTTTAAGTTCCGTTTATGTCGTTTTGGGGTGAGGACATAGAGTTTTGTGTGGCTTTCGTCGTGAGGCCCAATAATGACGAGTTTTTAAGCGAGATTTCCCGTGTTTTATGTGAGAAAATTGTTTTTTTTTTAGGGAGAATCTGCGGAGTTTGTGCCTTTCCTTTTTGCTGTTCTTTTTTTATTGGTCTTCCCCTTATGCCATCTCTACGTTGAAAGAGGAGAGGGAGAGAACGAGGAATAAGGTAAAGAGAACGAAATAACAGAGAAGGAAAGCGAGAAAGAGGGAGTGAGAGAGAAGGAATGAGTGTATTGTGAGTTGTGTGATTCATCCGTAATATTATTTTTTGTTTTATCGTTAAATCTATGGTGTAAATTTCCATAGTCTTGTAGTTCTAATAATCCTCTATCTGAATTCTTTACGTTAGGGAGGGTATTTTTTGTATATTATTTTAAGGCCTTTACACTATGGTTCTTTGTTTTTCCGGATTTCTTGGAATGTCATATTGGCCATATTTTCTTATTTTCTTATTACTCGTGACTTTTGCCAGTAGATAGAGGTTCTTATATGTTCCTACAAACATAGGTCTATGTATTGCTAATAATTCTTTCTCTTACTTTTACCTGGGAATGGAGAGGGTATGGGGTATGGTATTTGTTAATGAGTAGCATTGTGCCCTCCAGAGACCAAGTCCTAAGACAAGATTTTTCATTTTGTAGAATTTTTTTTGTGTGTATTTGTGCATGCCTAGCCTAAATATTGAGGTATCATGTTTGCCCAGAATCTAAACCTAACCTTTTCTACTATCTATTTAGTTCACAGACATAAGGGGGGGGGAGCCTCCCTTTACCTCCATTATTCGCAAATTTTGCCACCTTACGGAAAATACAACTTTAAGAACTAGGTTGTGGCTATGCTCAAATATCGTAATACAATATCTATCAACTGTTTTTCCAGGAGTTCCAGTCGTGTGTGCACATTGTGGAATTCTCCCTTCATTCCCGTACCCAGGGACTGTTACCCCCCCAATCCTCCATGTATCCACGGCAGGAGAGAGCCTCAGACAGACTCAGTGTCGGGCACTCCCACATGTCAGTCAAGCGCTCTATCCTGCCGTGGGTGGGGTGAGAATTCTACACTGTGCACACGAGACGAGAACTCCCACAAAACTAGTCAGTTGACATTGCATTGCATTACGTTAAATATGGTCACTTTGTAATAACTATGGTTGTGTGAGTGTATTCTGGATTTAGTCTCTGAGTGGTGATATACAGTAAACATTTTTGTCATTTCATAGTAAATATGAGACCACAACAGCTGTTCATGTGTTCTATATGACTATTTCTTATGCTCTGTAAGATAGCGGTGTCCATTTCCCTTTATATCTGTGCGTCACCCTAAGTAATGTTAACCAAGAGTATTTATAGGGAAAGACAGCCACAGTTTTAAATAATTGGCTGTAAATAATGGATACTGCTTCATTAGTTTACTCTTGATTTTATGTTTATTTGGTTTAATTTCAAGTATAGATATTACTTTAAATGAAACACAACATATCATTCATTTTCATTTTCAAGTAGTCAATTCATCTGTAAATGAGGCAAACAATGATCCACATGAAATATTCTGGCAAGATTGAGCATAGGCAATACCCTCGCAGTGAATATCCATATTGCTATCAGGTATTGGAGTTCAGATTCTGGAAGTGGGTATTTAATTTTAAACTTAATTATTGCACAGTAAATCAGTGCCCATATTCATTTATTAGAGGGGTGCAGATAATTAAACTTTTTCTTTGGCCTCTGCTCTGTGTTTTAGTTTAGGAGAGTAAACCTACACCATATGTCCTGTAGACTAGTCAGGTGATTGTTGAAGCTCCAACTTGCTGAAGGTGGCAGAGCTTGTTGGCTTTTGCTGGAGTGCAAAATGTCGAGGCTGATGTGGTCCATTCTGTGAGAGTTATTAGTTTTCATAACTTAATTTTTATTTGGAGTCTGACACAATAATTTGTTTGGAATAAGATGTTCAAAGAAAGTCTTCTACAGATAATTGATTAGTTTTATGGATTCTTTGGTAGCACCTTTCTTTGATGCCATATAAGGATCTTAGTCTAGATTAACTAGCATATCTTTAACCAAACCTAAACCAGGTATTGCAAAAGTCGAAACTAGAACCAAGAGCTTTTGTGCATTTGTGTAGAATAGTTTCATTCCTGATTTAAGGCATTTGCTGTAGATGTACCATGCTGACTTAGGTCATTCCTTTTGATAAGCTGTTTAGTTTAGTCCCAAAGATTGTTTACTCGAAATACTTTGTAATAAATTGCTTTAACACCTATAACAATCACTATAATTTGAGTGGAGAGCACAAACTCAAGCGAGCTTTCATCACTCATATTTTGCAGCAGAATTATTGCACTTTAATTTGCACTTTAATAAGGCATGGCATGAAACCTCATCCAGCACCAAGCATAACTAAAAATAAACTCCGAAGTAGATATTTCAAATAAGTGTTATACACCAGGTTTTGATGAATAGTATTCCTCATAGCCTATACATGGTCCAAAATCCTGACATTAGGCTTACTTGAGTGGTGACTCAGGTGTATAGATTGTTGGTATCCGTGATACCATTGGCTTTACATTATATGCTCATCTAGTCTGGTTGTCTTAGTTTTGAAGTACACATTAAGCAGTCCTAGCACAGTCACCACAAACAAATATGGTAATCTTAAATTTAGTATCGCTCCAGCTTGGTGAATTTTTTCTTAGGTTTATGTTCAAAAATAGAATTTTATGCTACTGCTAAGTTGTGTGTAATGTTTACAAGGAAGATCCCAAGAGTTATACAAGCACCTTGATTAGAAATTGTATTATTTGAAATAGATATATACTAGTATAAGCATGTAAAGGAGACTACAGTAAGAGACAAAGAGAAACAGTCTATAGTGATAAGTTTTCTTTGCATAGAGGTCTCTTATTTTATTTGTTAGTAAAAACAATTTAGTAGATTATATAGAGATCCTTTGTAGCACGAGATCAATGCAGAAGTTGATTTAACAAAAATAGTTGCTACCATCATTGCCTGGGAACTGTCTATGCACAACACATGCTTGGAGAGGAAAAATTGCTTGATTTTTCGGAAATGTGTGCTAAAGATTGTCTCAGTAACCCAATGCTGCTGGGGAAAATTTGAAATGGCGGGAAAAACGTATTTTTCACTAGTGCTATGAAAATCGATGGTGTTATTTTTATCATAAACATTATAATTTTTATAATGTTTTTAACATTAGTAACAGCAAAATAAGATAACGTAAAATATTTTGTAAATCAAAGAAAAGGGTAAACAGGCGAGCAATTACTCACGGTGGGCATAGCACATACGTACACGTCATACCCGGCGGCATTGAGTTAAATGTAATTTTCTAAGAATACGTGCCAAATTTCACAATTCAGTGGTCATTTATACCCATTTACTTAGTAAAGTTGATTTAAAACTTTGGAGATTTATGTTATCAATTTGAGATTATGCACATTATATTACTGGTATGTACATCGTGAAATTTGGGCAGCAATGATTTCTGTAATAGTAATTCCTCACCTGCATTAGATGAGGCTGTTTTCTATTGAAACAGCTGGTTATAAATGAACCGTTGTCAATACCCACCTATTTGCTGACAATACAACCCCTTGTAAGTAAGGTTAAAGTCTCTTTTTAGCCTCATTTTCTAAAAAATTGTGTATGCCATAGTTTTAATTATTTACTCCAGGGACTGACCTTTTTTTGACTAGGTAAAAAAAATGTATTTTTTGCTTCTTTCATCATATTTCTATTTTTATGTTTATCATTAAACTGATCAGAGGAAATTCAAGTTGTGCTTACAAAGGATATATCCTTGAAATATGTTTACATTGAGAGCGGTCAAGTGTTTTGAAATGTCAGCAGTGAGTTTGCAAACAGTAGCAGCTTTCATTGAATTTTTCTTCCATTGTGGAAGGCCGTGCAGGGTTCAAATTTTTGAGGGTGTTTTCTTAATTGGTAATGTTTATGTTTTAATCAGGGAATGTTATGCCCTAGTGCTGCAAGACTTGGTTAACTTTCATATAATTGAAATAGAAAAATTGTTGAAGTTCTTGTTGAAAAGTTACCTATGATATCTAAATTAATATCTTTAGAATGCCTACTTCACTTATTAGATTCATACATGTATGAACATGTGCAATAAAAAAAGTCTCATAGAGTTGATGATTTTATTAGAGTTTTACTTGTTAAGAAAAAGGTATAGTTTTTGCTGTATTGCATATTCCAGCAGGCTGCGAAAAATCCCACGTCCGCACGTCTTTGATGAGTGTAAACTTGTGGAGGACAAGTAAAATGTTTACCTCGCTTGTCCGCATGGACGAGTAAAAATTTCCAGTAGATTTTCCCCTAAAATTAATGAAATCTAGCAAGCTCTAGTTCCTTTCAGTTCTATGATTATGGAGGCTACCATATTTGTTTATATTAGTTTCATATATTAGTTATTTATATTAGTTTCATATATCACAGTTGATAAATTTCTTTATAATATATATATATAAATATTTCGGATAAGTGGTATTCAGAAGAGGACGAGTGGAAAGTCAGGTGTACTTGTCCTCCTGGACAAGTGAAATTTTTTTTTTTTTTTCGCAGCCTGTCCAGTAACAGAAGTTGCAAAGAAATTCTGCCACAATATGAACTAAATACAAATGTAATGCTTTGTACTTACTTAGAGTTCCTCATGAGTTACAGCACAAAAATGGAGTGGTTACCATTCAGTGTACACTTTGTTATTGCTTCGACTGACGAGGAACTCTTGACGAGTTTGAAATATTACGTTCATATTCAGTTCATGTTGTAGTAGTGTTTCTTTTTTATCCTTGTTAACATGTTACTCTGTTTGTGTTTATCAAGGTTCATGTTCAGTAAACAGAAGTGTTCATTGTCAGGAAACCTTTTATAACCAGATACCATCTCGGAGGTTATTAGGCCTGATCTCTTGACAAAAATGTACACACATTAGGTGAAGAGATGTACATTACTGTTTTTATGATTTTAGTTTGCAGAAAAAAATAGGGTCTTATATTTGAAATTGAAAGAGTGGATATGTTTACAACCTAACTGATGGGGACGTCAGTTACATACATGTTATATCCATTGTGAATTTAGCTTGTGTTAACACATAGAGGTCTCTATAAGTCACATAAATGGAGTCAATTGCAAG